AAAAATGCCATTTCTCTCTACATTAACCTAGATGTTTAACATACCCCCCCAAAATACAAAGTGGGTTTATTTGGGGCAATTACAGAAACTTGATTCTAAAATTCAAATGTAAAAAGCAATCAGTGGCCAGGAAATTGTTGAAAACAAAAGTAATGAGACTATCACTGCCCTATGTGATAAATATGGCCTCAAAAATTAGAGGCCAGGCACGGTGGTGGCTCACACCTGTAATCCTAGCACTTTGGAAGGCCGAGGCAGGGGGATCACGAGGTCAGGAGTTCAAGACCATCCTGGACAACTTAGTGAAACCCCATCTCTACTAAAAATACAAAAATTAGCTGGGCATGGTGGCATGTGCCTGTAGTACCAGCTACTCAGGAGGCTGAGGCAGGAGAATTGCTTGAACTTGGGCAGTGGAGCTAGTGAGGTGCAGTGAGTGAAGATCAGGTTACTGCACTTCACCTTGGGCAGTAGAGTGAGACTTCATCTCAAAAAAAAAAAAAATTAGAGGAAGGAGGGAAGACGACAGAGTTGCCATCTGGAAAGTTGGACGCTTGCTTTGTACCTTATGCCAAAATAAATTCCAGGTGGATCAACGGTTTTAAATATGAAAGATTCAGCAATAAAAACACTAAAGGACAATACGGAGAAATGTTTTCTAAATATCATCGGAAGGAAAAAGCCTTTCTAAGTTTGACACAAAACTCAGTGGCAAGTAAATGATAAATTTGACAACACTGAAAACGAAGATAGGCTGGTCCAAAGGTAGCAAGTTACCTCAGTTGATTGTTCACAGTAATAGATCCATGTTATACTCTTTCCCCTTCTCACTACTGCACTTAAAAAAAGACAAATTTCTGCATGGCAAAAAAGCAATACAAAATCAAAAGATGGGGAAATTCCTCATAAAAAAAAAAAGGCGCAGATTTTTTCAGATTGGTAAGACAGAGTCTAGTAGAAAACTGACCAAGAATTTGAACTGCTCAGAAAGAAAATGGAAATGACTCTTTAACGTGTGAGTTTTTTTATACCTTATGTCAGGGGTCCCCAAACTTTTTACATGGGGGGCCAGTTCACTGTCCCTCAGACCGTTGGAGGGCCGGACTATGCAAGACTAATATAAGAGAAGGTCTTATAACAGGGGAAACACGGTGTGTAGTAATGTTGGGGGAGACTTTTGGGCAAAGGGAGGTTATAGGGGCCATTATGTTGTTGTACATTTGGGGGAGTATGGGGGCCATTGTACTGTGTAGTAATGGTTATAGTGCTTTGCCTTTCTTCCTACTTCTGCTGTTATTTCACACTGCTTCCAGTGATGTGGGGCCGCAGCCACAGACCGGATGTGCATCATATGACACGCTTCTGGAGCTGTGACGCATGCATCCCGCGTCACTGGAAGTAGTACTGTACGTGAGCAACACCACGCTTTGTGGGGCCGCCACATACAGTACTCCAGGAGCACAGGATGCATCCGCAGTAATCCCAGCTACTCAGGAGGCTGAGACAGGAGAATTGCTTGAACCCAGGAGGCGGAGGTTGCAGTGAGCCGAGATCACGCCATTGCACTCCAGCCTAGGCAACAAGAGCGAAACTCCGTCTCAAAAAAAAAAAAAAAAAAAGAATGATGTAAAAAGAGCAACTTGACAATACTATAAAAGTATAAATGTATGTAAACCTTTTGACGCAGCAGCTGTATTTGTGGGACGTATTCCTGGCATATGCATACTCAGGATGTTGTAAGGGTGATGCTGTCCATCATGTGAAATAAATGGAAATTAAAAGTAACCTACATGTACCCCTGTCGGAATGGGTTAAAGAAGTGAGACAGCCTTTGCAAAGAGTGAGGCAGTCCTGTGTACATGGGCATGGATCAGTCTCCAAGCTATGTTATTAAGTAAAAACCAAGTGAGATGTGGAGTATGACTGCCCTAGGGATAGTGCAGCACTGGGAGTGGGGCTGACTGATGTCTGGGAGCTGAGGCAAGGGGACTTTCACAACTTATGCTGTGTTTTAAAATCTGGTACCATGTATATGTATTATTTACTCAAAAAAATGTAGAAACAGCTTCTCTTATCATCTTCATGTTGCTGACTGTCATATTTAAACCTTCGCCCCAATTGCTGGCCTCTTAACCTCCAAACACCTAATCAGTGTCAACACTTGGAGGTCTCACAAGTATATCACACTGACCATGCCATGAAGCCATGAAGGGACTCCCAGCTATCCAAATTTTCCTCCATCAGTAAAGAGTCCTCATCTGCCCCGCAGAGGGCCTTGAGTCTTCCCAGGTCCTCCTAGATTCAGCCTATTGGTAGGTTCTCTGTGCCACATCCCAGGGTAGTCTCCGCTACTGCTTTCTAGCCTCAGTGCCCTCCTCAGGGCCAGGGTCACCCTTGGCCTTCAGGCCCATGGGAATCTCAGGCCTAATTGGTCTTCCAGGGGCGCCTCATCCAGCACCTGGATCTGAAAACCAGTCAGCTCAGATCACTCTGCAGGTAAATTCCTCAAGAGCATCCCATAATGTTCAGATTTCAATATGGACTGTACCTCCCTGGATGTAGAGGGACCTGACTCCAAGGCCTGCCTGCCCATCCCTCCTTCTGCTCATTTCCTCCTTATCTTGGGTGCCTTGCATGCCAGGGTCTGCCTTGCCCCAGAACTTGTGCACCTGTCTCCTCCACCTGGAACTCCCTCTCCTGGCTGGCCATGCCTTATCCTTAGGTATCAGTTCCTCAGATGGGTCCGTCCCTGCCCCTTCTCATCATTCCACCTACCCCTCTTGTAACCAGTGACTCCCAGGTCAGATGCTCTGCTAGATTCCTTCTTAGCTTTTATACGTACATATATAGTGACAGAGAGGGGTAGAGAGAGCGTATGCATGCGCCAGAGAGAGAGAGACAGAGAGTCTTGCTGTGACGCCCAGGCTGGAGTGCAGTGGTGTGATCCTGGCTCACTGCAACCTCTGCCTCCTGGGTTTGAGCAATTCTTCTGCCCCAGCTTCCAAAGTAGCTGGGATTACAGGCACACGCCACCATGCCCAGCTAATTGTTTAAATTTTTAGTATAGATGAGGTTTCCCTATGTTGGCCAGGCTGGTCTTAAACTCCTGACTTAAAGTGATCCTTGGCCTCCTAAAATGCTGGGATTACAGGCGTGAGCCACTGCACCCGTTCCCTTCTTAGCATTTTCACAACCTCAAATACCTTGTTCCATTTTTTTTCTTCTTTATTATTTGTCTTCCTCTGCTAGCATTAAACTTGTGCTTAGGAATCTTATGTTTGTTTCTTATTTATATGTTTACCTTTTTTTTTTTTTTTTTTTTTTTGCTAATTAAAACATTGTTTTTATAGATACAGGGTCTCACTTTGTTGCCCAGGCTGGTCTGGACTTCCTGGGCTTAAGTGACCTTCCCACCTCAGCTCCACCAAGTATCTGGGACTACAGGCACATAGTATTATACCTGGCTAATTTTTCTTTTTTCTTTTTTCTTTTTTTTTTGTGACAGAGTTTTGCTCTTGTTACCCAGGCTGGAGTGCAATGGCGCGATCTCGGCTCACCGCAACCTCCGCCTCCCGGGTTCAGGCAGTTCTCCTGCCTCAGCCTCCTGAGTAGCTGGGATTACAGGCACGTGCCACCATGCCCAGCTAATTTTTTGTATTTTTAGTAGAGACGGGATTTCACTATGTTGACCGGGATGGTCTCAATCTCTTGACCTCGTGATCCACCCGCCTCGGCCTCCCAAAGTGCTGGAATTACAGGCTTGAGCCACTGCACCCGGCCATACCTGGCTAATTTTTTTTTGAGACTGAATCTCGCTCCTGTTGCCCAGGCTGGCAATGGTGCAATCTTGGTTCACTGTAACCTCCGCCTCCTGGGTTCAAGTGATTGTCCTGCCTCAGCCTCCCAAGTAGCTGGGATTACAGGCGCCCACCACCACACCCAACTAATTTTTGTATTTTGAGTAGAGACAGGGTTTTACCACGTTGGCCAGGCTGGTCTCCAACTCCTGACCTCAGGTGATCTGCCTGCTTTAGCCTCCCGAAGTGCTGGGATTACAGGCATGAGCCACCATGTCCAGCCAATTTTTAAAATTTTTGTAGAAATAGGGTTTCACCATGTTTCCTAGGCTGGTCTTGAAGTTCTAGGCTCAAGGGATCTACCTGCCTTGGCTTTCTAGAGGATTGGGATTAGAGGTGTGAGACACCATGCCTAGCTATTTTACCAGTTTACTTCGCTGTAACTCCTTCTGCTCTTTGTTTGTTTTTTGTTTTTTTTTTTTGAGACAGTCTTGCTTTGTTGCCCAGTCTGGAGTACAGTGGCGCCATGTTGGCTCACGGCAACCTCCACCACCCAGGTTCAAGCAGTTCTTGTGCCACAGCCACCCAAGTAGCTGGGACTACAGATCTGCACAATCACTCCAGGCTACTTTTTGTATTTTTAGTAGAGATGCGGTTTCACCATGTGGCCCAGGTTGATCTTGAACTGCTGACCTCGGGTGATCTGCCTGCGTTGGCTTCCGAAAGTCCTGGGATTACAGGTGCGAGCCACCATGTGTGGCCTCCTTCCGCTCTTTGAATACTTGGCATTTGGTAGGAACTCCATAAGTACACATTCAATGAAGCGACTTTTACTAGTTTCCCAGTAGTTCATTGCTTTGAAATGTGATCTGGAGTTGCTACTGCTCCAGTCCAGGAACTGCACTGATGAACACAGCAGAAGCACGCTGGGTGTGGGCCTCCCCTCCTGAGGCTCACATGGGACTCCTTGGGCCCATGAAAAGGGTAGCAGGACAATTTCCAGGATGACTACCCAGACTTGGTCAGGATCCTTTTGTGGGATGGCTCACGCATGTATACAGTTGACTCAGCACAGAGAGGGTCAGCCCACTCCCAGGGCCCTGCCACCAGCACCAGGTTCTTCTCTGAATGCTGTCACTCTTGGTAACCTGGGCTTGAGTCCTGGTTTGTATAACTCCATTTTCTTGTTTCTTCACTTTGCAGAGGAATGTTTGCCGGAGGATTGAAGGAAATGGAGCAGGAAGAGGTCCTGATCCATGGCGTGTCCTACAATGCTATGTGCCAAATCCTACATTTCATATACACCTCTGAGCTGGAGCTCAGCCTAAACAATGTGCAAGAGACACTGGTGGCTGCCTGCCAGCTTCAGGTGAGGCATGTCTCGTCTAGCAAGGCAGACCCACACCCAGGTGGGTTTCCCTGAGATGCCCATGATGCCTTCCGGGCACTAGTATTGGCTTGAAGGTGGGTCAGGTATATGAGGAGACCAAGCAGTGAAGAAGGCCATGAAGTGGGGAAGACTCTGGAGTCATGCCCTGGATCTAAAGCAGAGCTGCTCTGGACAGCCCAGGCATAGGCGTGTCTTTCGTCTTTGTCCTCTTATCCATTGCTGGTTGTTTCCCCTCTACTTAAGTCTCCTTGTCATTGAACGCATCCTGTACATAAGCAGGTAGGCTGACCCAAGGTTGCATGTGGACGTCCTGTGTGCTTTGGGGTCTGGCAGTGTGGAGCGTCCAACAGCATTGCTACCAAGGCTCTTCCTGCCTGTCCCTACACTGGGCCACTTCAGTCTCTTGAAAGTTTTTCCGTTTTGTTACTGAGCTTTATCTTTCTATCTATTTATCTGTCTGTCTTTCTGTCTGTCTACTCATTCAGGTTATTGGAGACAAGCTCCCTGTTTATCACCCAGGCTGGAGTGCAGTGGAATGATCACAGCTTACTACAGCTTCAACCTCCTGGGCTCCAGCAATCCTTCTGCCCCAGTCTCCTAAGTAGCTAGGACTACAGACATGCACCACCACACCTGGCTAATTTTAAAATTTTGTTGTAGAGATAGGGGCTTGCTTTGTTGCTTAGGCTAGTCTAGAACCCCCAGACTCAAGTGTTCTTCCACCTCGGCCTTCCAAAGTGTTGGGATTACCAATGTGAGCCACTGTGCCTGGCCTATTTATTATTATTATTATTACTGTTATTTTGAGACAGTTTTGCTATTGTTGCCCAGGCTAGAGTGCAATGGCACCATCTAAGCTCACTGCAACCTCCGCTTCCTGGGTTCAAGTGAATCTCCTGCCCCAGCCTCCCAAGGAGCTGGGATTACAGGCATGTACCACCATGCCTGGCTAATTTTGTATTTTTAGTAGAGATCGGGTTTCTCCATGTTGATCAGGCTGGTCTTGAACTCCTGACCTCAGATGATCTGCCTACCTTGGCCTCCCAAAGTCCTAGGATTACAGGCGTGAGCCACCTCCCCTGGCCTATTTTTTTTTTTTTTTTAAGACAGGGCCTCACTCTGTTACCCAAGCTGTAATACAATGGTATGATCACAGTTCACTGTAGCCTCCACCTCCTAGGCTTAAGTGATCCTCCTGCCTCAGCCTTCTGAGTAGCTGGGACTACAGATGCGTGCCACTTTGCCTAGCTGGGATGTGTGTGTGTGTGTGTGTGTGTGTGTGTGAATAAATTACAGGGATGGGTTTTTTTTTTTTTTTTTTTTGAGACGGAGTTTCGCTCTTGTTACTCAGGCTGGAGTGCAATGGTGCGATCTCGGCTCACCGCAACCTCCGCCTCCTGGGTTCAGGCAATTCTCCTGCCTCAGCCTCCTGAGTAGCTGGGATTACAGGCACGCACCACCATGCCCAGCTAATTTTTTGTATTTTTAGTAGAGACGGGGTTTCACCATGTTGACCAGGTCTTGACCTCATGATCCACCTGCCTCGGCCTCCCAAAGTGCTGGGATTACAGGCGTGAGCCACCGCGCCCGGCCAGGGATGGGATCTTGTTAGGTGATACTCCCACCTTGGCTTCCCAAAGTTCTGGGATTACAGGTCTGAGCCACTGTGCCCAACTTGTTATTGAACTTTAAGTACTTGTTTTCATACAGAATTCAAAAAGTTTTGAGGCTTTGACAGTGTGACTTATGTTTTGGAAGATTATTCTCAGTGGTGTGGGTGCAGTTACACAGGACTGGGCCTGCAGGTTCCTTTGAGCTGTCAATCAGATATCAGCTATCAACCTGATAAGAGTTGAGAGTCCTCTCTTCTCACAGTTCTTAAAAGTGAAACAAAATGCTATGCTAAGTTCATCATTCTGACCTATCTTCCCATAAGAGCAGGTTTGGCACAATTTAAAAAAACTCAAGTCATAGGAAAACCAACCGTGCGACAGGGCCCTGGCAGCTTCCCTGTTCTCTGTTCCCTCTTCTCAGATTGGTGGGTAGGACCTGGATGCTGGGTTGGTTAATCTGAGTATGACTGACTTGTCTCACCATACCTGCATGGTGGGTAGATGGATTTGGCTTTTACAACAAAGTAATTTCCCCTTGTTCTTTTGTTAAAGCTATCTTTTCTGTCATTGTTGCTTTGGGAACCCTCATCCAGTTCTCTGCCCTGGCACCAGTTAACTCCTGATTCAGCTGCCCTTGAAACATCTTCCCCGGCATGGCTTAAGTCCAGCCATCCATCTCCTCCTCCACACCTGCCACTCTCCCAGAGCTCCCCTGCCAGTCCCCCTGCTCTGTGTGTTATGTGACCATCCTGTCAGTTCCCTGGGCTCAATCTTGGTGGCTTCTTAAGCCCATTCACCTTCTTCATTCCCTGTGTTCAAGTAAGGACAGGTCATCCTCCTCAGTATTGCTTATAGCCATGTCTGTTACGTGTTTCCATTTCCTTCCCCTTTGCCTAGCCTCCATATCTATGTTTCTGCCATTTCCTTATTCTCCCTGCAGCGACCACACACACTGAAACCAGATCGTCTTCACAACACCATCTCTTACCAGTCAGCTTGGAGACCTGTAGTCTCTCTGTCGGTTTGGCCAGTCCTCCCTACAGCCCTGGGTCATCTTCCCCAGTGCCTCAGAGGCCATCTCAGGGGCAGCAGCCTAGCTTTGTTTTTTAACGTATCAGGCTTCTGAGCCAGGCTTGGTGGTTCATGCCTGTAATCCCAACACTTTTGGAGGCCAAGTCCTGAGAATTGCTGAGGCCAGGAGTTTGAGACTACCCTGAGCAACAAAGTGAGACCCCATTTCTATGGAAGCATTTTAAAAATAGCCAGCCATGGTGGTGTGCACCTATAGGTCCAGCTGCTTGGGAGGCTGAGGTGAGAGAATCACAAGCCCAGGAGGTGGAGGCTGTAGTAAGAGTAAGCTGTGATCACACCACTATATTCCAGCTTATCTAAAAAAAAATCAGGCTTCTATGCAATATTGTTTTAAAAAGCTGTCTGCTCTAAAAACAGGACCAAAAGGAGAGACAGCAGGGTCCTCTCAAGGAGCTGCTACCCAGGCTTGTTCAGGGCTGTTTACGTTCACATTCTGCCCGAAACCTGGTCTTCAGGACCCTGCCCCATGACAAACCAGAATTTTAGGAAAACGTAGTATTTCAGGAAGCAGAGGCAAAGCAGAAGTACAGGCAGAGGGGGAAAGCAGAAGGTCAAGTGAAGATGATCGGGACCTAGCAAAGCACCAGGACACCTCACGTAGGGCACATACCTGCCCGACAGTTGGTAGGTCCCGTTTAGTCTTTAGCGTGTCACCTTGCAAGCAATCTTAGATGTTTTTTGGATTTTAAAAAAGTTATTTTTAGTGATTATTGATAAGCTTTAAGTAGCCGGAGAATTATTCCATGTGTAATGGTTAATTTATTGATGATTCTGGATAAGCCAGATATTCCCATTTTTAGGGAAACTGATTAATTGCACCAAACCCATGGGGTGGAATTGGTAGCAGAGGAGTTCCCATTTCCCCGCAGCGTCCTGAAATGGAGTTGGTTTGGGAATACAAAGAAAGAAGCATCAGACAACCAGGATGATCAGACCAAAGCGTTTATTAGGAGTTATGTATAAAGTGGTGCAGCGTGTCCTCAAGGCAGACAAGGAAAAAGAGGCTTTACCCAGGCTTGCCCACAGAGTGGGTCAGGGTATGGAGTTTCTATGAGGGTTTAAGGGATTTGTCTCAGGGTTGGAGTCAGTTTTTCTTTCAGTGTTTTGTGTAACAACCTTGATGCCTTTATCAGTGCCTGGGAATGTTCAAGGACCAGGTTTGGGTTCAAGCCTGCTGGGAAAACCTGCAGCTGGCTGGGTCACAGAGAGGTCAAGGTACTCTGTCATTTTTAGTCTGGACATGGAAAAAAAGGAGGTGAGCACTCGGGGGCCCCACCGAAACTCTAAAATCGTGCTTTCCTGGAGAATTTATCAACACCTGGTTTGTTCTCCCAGACAGTTTTCCGTAGGGCCCTTCCCTTTGTCTGCTATTCTAACAAGCTTTGGCTGTTTGTTCACAGAGTAGCCTTTACAGCCTGCTGGTTGTGGCCTTGTTCCCAACTCCCTCCAGTGCCATTCTCTCTTGCTGTCCTTTTTTTTTTTTTTTTTTTTTGAGATGGAGTTTCGCTCTTGTTACCCAGGCTGGAGTGCAATGGCACGATCTCGGCTCACCGCAACCTCCGCCTCCTGGGTTCAGGCAATTCTCCTACCTCAGCCTCCCGAGTAGCTGGGATTACAGGCATGCGCCACCATGCCCAGCTAATTTTTTGTATTTTTAGTAGAGACGGGGTTTCACCATGTTGACCAGGATGGTCTCAATCTCTTGACCTCGTGATCCACCCACCTCGGCCTCCCAAAGTGCTGGGATTATAGGCTTGAGCCACCGCGCCTGGCCTCTTGCTGTCCTTTTAAACCACTAGTGCTTCCCCATGGTTAGGGAAGGGTTGATGTGGCTATCTGGGAGCCCCTGCACTCACTGGAGCCAAGTGGGTCTTGACCCAGTGCAGGACCTCAAGAACAGGGATAGCTTGAGTCCAGAAGTTTGAGACTTCAGTGAGCTATGATCTTGCCATGGCACTCCAGCCTGGGCGACAGAGCAAGACTCTTTCTCAAATTTTAAAAAGAAAAAAGAAAAAGAATTCTAAGTCAGGTTCCTGAGTAGGTGCTGGTCGGGTGTCTGAGAGTCTCTGAGCACTTCTGGGGAACCAGGGTGGATGTTCTGACGGGGAAAAAGCTTGTTATGTTTTTGGTCCCAACATTTTTGGAGAGGCAGGCTCTTCTAGGGAGTCCTAGGGTAAGGATGGGGGTTGTCTTGGGTCCTTTCCAAACCATGGATACATGACACAGTGACCATTTGTGCTGCTTCCTGCTTTTCTGAAGAGCCAGTACTTTTGATCTAAGAGGGAATTGACATATATCAAGGGTCCACTCCTGTGTGCTCTCTCATTTTCCTCATGTTTCTCTCTACTTTAGTGATCCCGTTTTATAGACGAAGAAACTGAGGCTTAGAGAGGTTAAAAACATGCTGTACAGGAGGCTGAGGCAGGATAATTGTTTGAACCCAGGAGGCAGAGGTTGCAGTAGGCAGAAATTGCGCTACTGCACCCCATCCTGGGCAACAAGAGCGAAACTCCATCTCAAAAAAACAAAACAAAACAAAAAAACATGCTGTATATCCTGTCACCTGGCACATTTCCAAACCAGGATTTAAACCCAGTCTGCAGTAAGCCCCAGTCTCCAGTGTGTCAGGAAAGGTAGAGGGCAATTAAGGAGGGCTTCTCGTTCACTTTGCCTGCCCCACAAGGGCCCATATTTCTGCTGTCATTCTGTCTCCCACCTTCACATGCTTTTCCCAGCCCAGACTTGAATAGGTGTCATTCTCTCTGCAGATCCCAGAAATTATCCATTTCTGCTGTGATTTCCTCATGTCCTGGGTGGACGAAGAGAACATTCTCGACGTCTACCGGCTGGCAGAGCTGTTTGACTTGAGCCGCCTGACTGAGCAACTGGACACCTACATCCTCAAAAACTTTGTAGCCTTCTCTCGGACTGACAAGTACCGCCAGCTTCCATTGGAGAAGGTCTACTCCCTCCTCAGCAGCAATCGCCTGGAGGTCTCCTGCGAGACCGAGGTATATGAGGGGGCTCTTATATACCATTATAGCCTGGAGCAGGTGCAGGCTGACCAGATCTCGCTGCATGAGCCCCCAAAGCTCCTTGAGACAGTGCGGTTTCCGCTGATGGAAGCTGAGGTCCTGCAGCGGCTGCATGACAAGCTGGACCCCAGCCCATTGAGGGACACAGTGGCCAGCGCCCTCATGTACCACCGGAACGAGAGCCTACAGCCCAGCCTGCAGAGCCCGCAGACAGAGCTGCGGTCAGACTTCCAGTGCGTTGTGGGCTTCGGGGGCATTCACTCCACGCCATCTACTGTCCTCAGTGACCAGGCCAAGTATCTAAACCCCTTGCTGGGAGAGTGGAAACACTTCACTGCCTCCCTGGCCCCCCGCATGTCCAACCAGGGCATTGCGGTGCTCAACAACTTCGTGTACTTGATTGGAGGGGACAACAATGTCCAAGGATTTCGAGCAGAGTCCCGATGCTGGAGGTAGGACAAAGTGCTGGCTGGTCCCTTTGTCTTCAGGTGATGTGAGGGTGTGGAAGTCATGGGCTGAAAGAGCTGCTCAGGTTCCCCTCAGCGTTTCACATGAGTGTCACTTGTCATTGTGGAATGAAGTCTGGGTAAATTCAGAGGTGGCCAGCAGTGAGATAAGGGAAGGGGGCATCCGGATTGGCTTCTTTCCTGCGTGTCCCCTACTCTTCAGAAACCCACTCACCTTGTACCCCTCCTCGGCCTCTTCGGAGTGGGCTAGGTTGTGAGTGCGTTGTGCAGGCGGGGAGGGGAGGGGAGCCCACAGCGGGAACTGTAGTCAGGCTGGGATGAGAGGGCCTAGGAGCAGGGTCAGCTGGGCAGCTGTGCCCTCAGTCGTGCTCTGAGCGTGGATGCATATTGTTTCAGTTTCCCATCACCAGTCTGCATTGCTCTTTCTTCTCTCTTAACCTGCTTGCTAATGGTGGAACAGGCTTCCTGCTGCTGTGCCTGAGCAGCAGTCTTCAGCCCAGGGGAGCAGTAAAGGCCAACAAGCATTACTGAGCCTCATGCTACATTTCCACTCTACCCTGCAGTCAGCCACGCACTTGGCATAATATCCCCTGGGAGGAGGCAGTTTTCCCAAGAGAGGGTTTTGTGGACTGCTGTGGTCTGTAGGATGCGCCTGGCTTTATCAGTCACTTAGGCTGTGATCTCACCGATTTATTTCTGGGCGGAGCAAGGGACAGTGGGTCAAGTCCACAAGCCTTAGCCACCATTAGATTTCCAGAGACCCCTCCATCTTACCTTGGTGCATGTGAGAAATCTCCCCACGCTTCATGCTGAAAGATGGTGCTGTAGAGAGAGAGACTGCTCTGCAACTATTTCCAGCAGGCATGAACTAGATTCTGACTGACTTCATATTCATGTTTCTGTTTTCTGGGGACAGGGTAGGGTAGGGTCTGGCCTGGCCATGCCACTCGGAATCAAGCATGGTGATCCTGGCCAAGGAGGAGAAGGCCATGTCTCTGCCACCTCTGCATTCCTGGCCCCAGGAAGTGATCACCTTTGTTAAGCTGCTGAGGCTCAGAGATTGGCAGTGACATTGTGGTTAAATATGAGAAAGGGCAGGTTTCAGAGAAAAGGAAACAGCTACCTTCATTTCCTCCCTAAACAAATGTTCCCCAGTGGGTGTGGCCGCACCAGATTCAGACTTCCCTCTGGCCAAACCTTAAACGTTCTGTTTTAGGGGGTTCAGTTTCCCAGTTGGGGGACCAAGGCCAGACCACCCTGCTGAGAGCAACCTGTAGACCTGCAAAGTCAGTCTCTCCAGAGTGTTTTGGCCTCTGGCCCTTAGCAGAAGGTAGAGGCAACTGTGCGCCCAGAAGCGAGGCTGGATGTTTCTGCAGAGCTGTCCCTAAGGGGGATTTTGCCTGCCCCTGTCCTCTGTCCACCTGCTATATGGGCCATTGATCTCACTTTGACTTACAGTACAAGTCTGAATTTCCCCCTTGTGAATGGCTGTTTGTGAGACTAAAGCTGAACTCTGGGTAATGCTAATATTAGCCCCTGTAATCAATAACCAGTCTCAAACTCCTGTCTGAGAGTATGATCACAGTGGCAGGTGGGGTTGGCAAGACCTGCCTTGAGGGAGCAGGTGCCCACAGAGTGGAGGTGGTGGGAAGGACCACAGTCCTGCTGGTTAACCTAGGGGTGTATCATCTCTGCAGAATGAAAGCTTCATTAATCTCCCAGTGGACTCAGAACTTCCAGATGAATCTCTTAATTTGAATATTCTTTTTTTTTTTTTTTTTTGAGACGGGGTTTCACCATGTTGGTCAGACTGGTCTCAAACTCCTGACCTCAGGTAATCCACCCGCCTCGGCCTCCCAGAGTGCTGGGATTACAGGTGTGAGCTACCGTGCCTGGCCTTAATTTGAATATTCTAAGAGTTTGGTTCTTTCTCTGCTTTCTCATCTCATCAGCCTTAGAACTGGTGAATTCTAAAAGCTTCAGGCTTTTAGAATATAAGGAAACAAGATTTTGTAGCAAATTAGGCTTTACATTTTGAGGAGTTAATACTTATCAGGTTGTATCTTAAAGCACTGATACAGAAACTGCATATTAAAAAACCTTACCTTTCTTGGAGCAAATGGTATTTGCCTCCAAGATACCACTTTTTCTCTTTCATTCTTTCTTTCTTTGCATCTATATTATCCGCATCATTCTTTGTACTGTTCCATAGCCATAGCCATAGCCCTGTGGATTACTGAACACTAACTACGTGGTATACCTGATAGTAGCTGGTTACATGTTGCTGTTTGCCCTAACACTACTTAAAGTAATAATTAAGGCTATGTGAAGTTCATGCCAATAATCCCAGCACTTTGGGAGGCTGAGGCAGCAGGATCACTTGAGCCCAGAAGTTTAAAATCAGCCTGGGCAACAAACTGAGACCTCGTCTCTACAAAAAAAAAAAAAAAAAAAAAAAAAAAAAAACTGGGCCTGCAGTCCTGGCTACTCAGAAGGCTGAGGCAGAAGGATTGCTTGAGCCCAAGAGTTTAAGACTTCCGTGAACTGTGATCTGTGATCATGCACCTGTACCGTAGCCTAGGCAACAGATTAAGACCCTGTCTCTAAAAAATTTTTTTTATATAATGTGATTTTTCTTTTCTTTCTTTTTTTTCTTTTTTCTTTTTTTCTTTTTTTTTTTTTTTTACGTGGATTCTCACTCTGTCACCAGGCTGGAGTGCAGTGGCACGATCTCTGCTCATTTCAGTCTCTGCCTCCTGGGTTCAAGCAATTCTCCTGCCTTAGCCTCCCAAGTAATTGGGACTACAGGTGCACACCACTATGCCCAGCTAATTTTTTGTATTTTTAGTAAAGACGGGGTTTCACCATGTTGGTCAGGCTGGTCTCAAACTCCTGACCTCATAATCTGCCTGCCTCAGCCTCCTAAAGTGCTGGGATAACAGCCATGAGCAACCATGCCCAAACAATAATGTGATTTTTCTTTGGGCATTTTCATGGCTGCCAACATTTTAAAGTACATTTAATTTTTTTTTTTTTTTTTTTTTTTTTTGAGATTGCATCTAGCTGTGTTGCCTAGGCTGGAGTGCAATGGCATGATCTCAGCTCATTGCAACCTCTGCCTCCCGGGTTCAGGTGATTCTCCTGCCTCAGCCTCTCGAGTACCTGGGATTACAGGCATGAGCCACCATGCCCAGCTAATTTTATATTTTTAGTAGAGACAAGGTTTCACCATGTTGACCAGGCTGGTCTCGAACTCCTGACTTCAGGTGATCCACCTGCCTCAACTTCCCAAAGTGCTGGGATTATAGCCATGAGCTGCCATGCCTGGTCAGTACATTTAATTTTAAAAACAATTTAATAGACATTAAAACATTAATAGTCATGAAAATGCTTAAGTCATGGAAATATAGAAGAAAAACAGTCTACTGAATTTAACAAGAATTCCAGAATATTTTTGTACCAACTCTAGGATTCATCTCTGAGTTTACAATAGGATGATATAAATCTGAGTTACAGTGACTCTCCTAGTCAGTTTGAGCTGCTAAAACAAATGCTATAGATGGAGTGACTTAAACAACAAATCTCTATTTCTCACTGTCTGGACACTGGGAAGTCCAAGGTCATGGTGTTGGCCAGTTCAGTCCTGGTAAGTACCCTTTCTGGCTGTGTTCTCACATGGTGGAGAGAAAGAGCTGTAGTCTTGGGCACTAAGCACATCATGGGGCTCCACCCTCATGACCTGATCACCTCCCAAAGGCCATGCCTCCTAGTGCCATCACGTCGGGGTTTAGGCTTTCAACATAGGGATGTTTGGGGAATCCACACATCTAGTTCATAGCAATAACTAAAATTATTTATATTATTATATGCAAAAGTAAAGCTTATTTTTATTAGAAAAATATTACTTGAGGACTTACTCTAATAAAGTGGAAAATTAATAAAGAGGTGGGATACAGGACACAGCAGGAAATAAGAAATCAGTGGAACTTTGGCTGTGTCTTAATTGTTGACATATGGTGTCACTGTGTGTGTGTCTTTAAATCTGAAGCCACAAATCCACATGAACTCAGCTTAAAAAGCTGTGAGGACAATAGACTAGAAGCAGCAAGCAGGAGCATCTGGAGGGCCCTGTCTCACTCTGGTTGCAGACACTTGGGATACAGATGTTGATTGAGCCAGACTGAACACCAGAGAGGAGAGACTTGTAAGGCAGTGAACGGCACCATCCCAGCCAGTTGACGGGACCTCTGTGAGTGCTGTACCCCAAGCCTGGACTGCTGGTCCCCAGCCAGACCTTCTCCTGGCTTGTGCCTCAGGTCATGCAGGTATCAGACCCTGCCTTCTCAGGAGGCCTTTCCTGATCGCTGGAAGGGAGCTCTGCCCTCCCCAGGCCTCGCTGACCAGCAGGTCACTCATCTCCTTACCGCACTTTCTTTCCTTCACAGTGTCATTATATCAAGCCTTTGTTTGCCCTCATTTGCCCTGGTTAGCCTGTTTCCATTCTGCAGGGGAAGGCAGGGCCCTGGGCTCTCTTCAGACTCCCTCTGGATGTAGTGCTGAGCACTGTACTCCATCCACAGTGCAGGGGCTGTGAATGTTGATAGAGTGAATGTTGATTCATTGCTGATAATCTTATTCCTTTGTTTAGTTCATTCAGCAGACAGTGCATGATCTGCCCTGAGCCAGAGGCTACACTGAGGTCTAGGAATACAGAAATGAACCCTGTTCCATTAGAACCCCCAAGTTAACAAAGACCCTTTTTATGCTCATCCTTTGTGATTCCTCTTGATAGCTTTTCTAGGCAGGTGATATCACCTCATTGGACAGGTGCAGAACTGAGTGAACCCCAAGAGATTAAAACTGATGTCCAGGCACACCCAGCTAGACAGGGCAGAGCCCAGGATTCACACCAGGTCAGTGAGACCCAGGTGCATGTTCCTTCTGTTGGCCCTGCCTCCTGAAGCCCCTGTTTGCTGCATTCCTTGTTGGCATGGAGGGGCTGGCCACACTGCAGGGGCTGCACGAAGCAGCTGCAGAGCACAGCTAACTTGTGTTTTGGAGAAAAAGATGAAACTGATCTTTTCACTGACCAGCATAAGGCACAGGCCAAAGAAAACTTTGATTAGTCTCTTGTGAACCAGTTGAAGTTAGACTTGTTCTCTTTGGAAATGGTCTTCTTCTGGAGAAATAAAAACACTTGTCTGAAAGGCTGTAACTATCTGTGGGCTATTGGGCAAGGAGGCTTCAGATACTGGCTTTGGCCTCACTTGAGTCCTGGCCCCTTGTGGCTCTGTGATCATCTCTGCTCCACATTGCAGGCGACGCTCCCTGTGGGTGCTTAGTCTAGGAGCCCTACTTGGGTTCTGGCCAGACTCCTGCACTATAACCTGCCCACCCTCATGGGTCTGCTGCAACCAGCCCCATGCCTTTTCTCCCAAGGGGGTCCCTGGAATCTCACACACCCTGCCCTTACACAGCCCACAGTCCAGGGTCAGAGTTAACACTTCCACTTTCCCAGTGAGGGAGACCTTGAGGAGTGGAGGGGAGGTTAGGAAACTTGGGGCTGGCAGCATGGTGGGAGGAGGTGAAAGTGGGGTGACTGGAGGCTGGCACATGCTGCTGTTGACAAAGCTGAGGGTATGATGCATGCTCTGTGCAGGGCATTACTGAGCAGACCACTCCTGATTGAGTGCTGGGCGAAGTTCAAGGCTGGGAGGCCAGTGAGGGGGCTCATGCACCCATCTAGTCAAGAGGCTGTGTTTGGAGGCCCTCTGAGTGGGGGAGCAAGGCTATGTGGTCGATGAGGTGAGGCAAGTGAGATGAAAGTGGCTGTACAAACAGCCATTGAGGCTGAGGCAGGAGGATCACCCAAGTCCAGGAGTTCAGGACCAGCCGGGACAATATAGTGAGACTTTGTCTCTACCAAAAAAAAAAAAAAAAAGTAGCTGGTGTAGTGGTGGGTGCCTGTAGTTTCAGCTACTCAGGAGACTGAGGTGATAGGATAACTTAAGCACAGGCGGTTGAGGCTACAGTGGGCTATGATTGTGCCATTGCCACTGCACTTCAGCCTGGAGGACAGAAAGACCTTGTCTCAAAAAAAAACAAAAACAAAAACAGCCATCGGACAGCTCAGGAGGACAGTTAGGTGGAAACACAGGAGGCTCCTGGCCACTCCTTCCGTGCTATGTGTAGGGGAGCACCTGTGCTCAGGTGTGTAATAGCCTGCTAGCCTGGTTGTAGATTGGTGTGCACTGGTATGTGGGGCAGTTGGGGGAGGGTTCAGGCTGAGCTGAGGCTAGAACAGGAGGTACAAGCCTGTGGGGCAGCCTCCCTGCGTAGTCAGTGCTGTGCTTTCCTCATGTCTCGGCACAGGTATGACCCACGGCACAACCGCTGGTTCCAGATCCAGTCCCTGCAGCAGGAGCACGCCGACCTGTCCGTGTGTGTTGTAGGCAGGTACATCTATGCTGTGGCGGGCCGCGACTACCACAATGACCTGAATGCTGTGGAGCGCTACGACCCTGCCACCAACTCTTGGGCCTATGTGGCCCCACTCAAGAGGGAGGTAAGGAAGTTCTAGAAGAGGGGGCTTCTCCTGCCTAATTTCCTTCCCCAGGATGTGCAAAAAGTGAGAAGCCCAGGTGTCAAGGCCTGTCCCAGGTCAGGGAACCAGGATCAGTCAGCAGTATCCATGCCCCTCCAGAGACCCTGCATTGAATGCATTGATGGAGGGCCCTTGAGGTTCAGCCAGCCCACCTGGGGAGAAGGCTCATCAAGGATCCAGACCCCATTGCCCAGAATTGCACCCCGCTTGTGAGTCTCACATGCTGAAGACCTTGTCACCCCACTTTGGCCCTGGGAAGCTGCTTTAGCCTTGTAGTTACCAAGTGTGGGTAGAACATTTGCTCTTTGCATAGCTGAGACGAGCTGGGACACTTCCAAAGATGTTAAACAGGAAAAGGTCCTGAGAGAGGTGAGGGCTTTCAGTAGCACAGCTCATTGGCAATCGTCAGAATTCTTCCCTCTTGGCCCCCTGAAGGGTGGGGCCTCCCAGAGCCAAAAAACTTTTGAGATTTCATTTTTGTATTAAATCCTATGTTTGAATATTGGGACAACTTGAAAGAAAAAAAATGATGTGCATCATATATATATACTACCTTGGTTTATTTTAATTTCAAGAGGTTTAGAATTATGTTCATTGTGGAAAAGTGATGCTTTAGGGAGGTGTCTCTCTTTTATCTTATGGCTTTGGGGTTCTCAGGCCTGGTATAAGAACCAAACCCAAAGAACCATCCCAGGGAAGGAAGAGGCCTTGCAGACCCCCTACCTCCTAGGTCTCAGCCTATGTACCTTGAGAACAGGGTACATACCCTGCTAGTACTGGCTTAGCATTTGTGGAGCACCTGCTATGGGCCAGGTGCACCTTTAGGGTTTCCCGAGCACCCCAGAGGCAGAGGATGGTATGGAGGGCAGGTTCTGCCTACGCTGCCTTGGGGGGTTTAGCAAGCCTCTTTCCAGTATCCCTCATGACCCCCCCACCCCCCCAGAGACTTAGACTTTGACTTCAGGGGGTCAGGGCTAGTGTCTCCCCAGTGGATCCAGCTCTTCTTTATCCAGGCCATTCACACAGCCCACACAGATTCCTCTCTTGGGCAGCTGTGAGCTACAAGCTATGGCCTGCTCCTTGCTCTTGGCTTCTTTGGGGAGAAGGAAGCCTCTTTGGAGGGACACTCTTTACCCCCATGTTGGAGAAAAAAGCAGATTTTTCATGGAGAAGATCAAGAGGCTCTTGAGACCAAGGAGACAAGAAGGGCCCTTGGATTCTATTCCAGGAAGGGTGTTGGGGGAAGCCTCCTAGGTGGGTGTTGTGGGAGGGGCTTAGCAGTTTTTTTGTCCATGGCAGCTGGGGAAGCAGCAGTTCTCCAGCTTGGCCACAGAGGGGCAGCCTTGGCTTTCAACAAGCTGTGTCCTGGCTGCCGGTGTTCCTTCCTTCACGCACACATTCATTCTGCAACTACTAAGCGCCATGTACCAAGTCCTGGGAATCCAGTGGTGAGAAGAAATGAGAAAGACTCCCACTCCGTGGTATTTACAGCCTTGTAGGAGAAACCACTTTTAACCACCAAACAAATCAATAAAGTGGTTACAATTACGGTAAGTGAAATGAAGAGGGGGCTGAACTGAAGGATTTCCAGGGAGGGGGCTCTGGTAGGATGAATCTAGAGGGAGGGACTGTTTGGGGACTGTCTGTCTGAGGAGATGTCAATTAGACCTGCCATTTATAAAGGGAGGAAATGTTACTGGGAATGTGTCCTCAGTTCTTACCTTCTTGGTTAAAAGAATTTAAGCAAGAGACATACAGCATACAGATACCAGTGTAAGGTAGTTTATTGCAAAAGTGGGGCTGGGCACGGTGGTTGGGCCTGGCACAGTAGCTCATGCCTGTAATCCCAGCACTTTGGGAGGCCAGTATGCATAGATCACTTGAGGTCAGGAGTTCAAGACCAGTTTGACCAACATGGAGAAACCCCATCTCTACTAAAAATACAAAATTAGCTGGGCATGGTGGTGCATACCTGTAATCCCAGCTACTCAGTACGCTAAGGCCAGAGAAGCAATTCAGCCCAGGAGGTGGAGTTTGCAGTGAGCCAAGATCATGCCGTTGCACTCCAGCCTGGGCAACAGGAGTGAAACTGTATCTCAAAAAAACAAACAAACAAAAAAGGCAAAATCGAAGGTACATTCTCAAGGCCAAGTCAGAGCAGGCTGCTCAAGAATGAGATTGCCCCAACTGGCACTGAGAAACCTCCCTTATGGGAGTGTCTTACATGATTATTCATAAATGGGTGGGAAGAGGTCTTACTCCTAAACATATTTTGGGTGGTCTTCTAGCAGCACATGTGCTGTGGCTGTATATGCTAATGCATATATCCCATGTCTCATTAGCGTCTTAAACCTCCACCCACAGGGTGTGTTTTTACTCTTACAATGAACAAAAGGTTACTTTCGAAGCAGGCAAAACTGGGGCAAACTACACAACACATGCTGCCTAGGGTGGAAAGTCCCTTGTGGGGTTAACTACTGGAGCTGGATAAGCTCAACTGACAGAGGGGTTGGGGCTTTTGAAACCCCTGGTTTGGTTAACATGTCTCAAAGGTCATAGTTTTTTCTGGGCATGCTAGGGGCTGAGGCTGGCCTGGAGTCCACTTCCCTGTTCATATCTAACCATCTGCCTGGTCTAATAGAATGACCTTCCAGGGCAGGAGAGGGGCTCACAGCTTTTCCTGAGAAGGAGAGGAAGTATGGGATATGCTTACAGAAGAAAGTCTGAGGATCAAGAGCAGAGCAAGCGAGGCTGGCTCTGGGTTGTCACATGGTGTGAGCCAAAAGCAGCAGTAGCCTGTGGTGGCACACAGCTGTGGAGCTGGAGGGAAATGGAAGGGTTCAGAGTGTAGTGTGCAGGTAAACTGATCAGGATTGCTGATGGATCAGATGTTGGGGATGAAAAAGGATAGATCATGTTGGCAGGGCATGATGGCTCATGCCTGTAATCTCAACACTTTGGGAGGTGGGCAGATCACCTGAAGTCAGGAGTTCAAGCCAGCCTGGCCAATGTGGTGAAACTGCATCTGTACTAAAAATACAAAAATTAGCTAGGTGTAGTGGCTGGTACCTGTAGTCCCAGCTACTCAGGAGGCTGAGACAGGAGAATTGCTTGAAACCAGGAGGCAGAGGTTGCAGTGAGCCAAGATCATTCTACCACACTCCAGCCTGGGTGACAGAGCAAGACTCTGTCTCAAAACAAACAACCCACCCCACAGGATTGGTATGCTGAATATTATAAAAAGCTGATGAAAGAAGTAAAAGAGATGAGTAGATGGAGAGACATACCAAGTCCGTGGATTGGAAGACTCAAATAGTAAAAATGTCAGTTTTTTCCAAACCCAATTAATACATATATTAATACAGTATTCATTATATTGATATGGTATTGATACAGGAGTTCTAATATTCCTATCAAAATTCCAGGAAGGTTTTTGTACTGTTAAGGGAAAATGAAAGTGGAAGCTGAGGTTTGGATATACCCCTTGGCCAACTGCCTATAGCCATGTAACTGAAACTTAAGCTTTCCTCCCTCCGTGTTGTTAGCATTACAAAGAAAGCTTATGCAGCTCCGTATGCACAGTAGGGAACAATATACTTCCTCATTCATGCTTGGTACGTTGTGCTGTAACTGCTGTGAATTGAGGCTTCATACCACTTCCAGTTTGGGGTTTCCTGGTTCATGAACTCTTCTTTTAAATACACAATAAGCTTTTCTGAAATTTGTAATTTGTTTATTTTTTTGAGACAGAGTCTTGCTCTGTCACCCATGCTGGAGTGCAATGGCATGATCCTGGCTCACTGCAACCTCTGCCTCCCCGGTTCAAGTGATTTTCTTGCCTCAGCCTCCCAAGTAGCTGGAATTACAGGTGAGCCCCACCACGCCTGGCTAATTTTATATTTTTAGTATCAACAGGGTTTCACCATGTTGCCCAGGCTGTTCTTGAACCCATGGTCTCAAGTGATCTGCCCACCTGCTTACTAAAGTGCAGGGATTACAGGTGTGAACCATCATACCCAGCCTAAAATTTTTTTTATTGCTGGGCGCAGTGGCTCACATCTGTAATCCCAGCACTTTGGGAGGCTGAGGAGGTTGTATCACTTGAGGTTAGAAATTCAAGACCAGTCAGGCCAACATGGTGAAACCCCATCTCTACTAAAAAGGTAAATATTAGCTGGATGTAGTAGCACACATCTATAATCTAGCTGCTTGGGAGGCTGAGGCACAAGAATCACTTGAAGCCAGGAGAAAGAGGTTGCAGTGAGCCAAGATTGTGCCACTGCACTCCACCCTGGGCAACAGAGTGAGACTCTGTCTCAAAAAATAATAATAAAATAAATTTTTAAATATATATTTTTAAATTTTTATTTGATTTTACTTGTGACAGTAGATATACATGAGATTATTCTGAAATTTATATGTAAAGACAAAGGAACTAGAATAGCCCAAATTATTTTGAAAAAGAACAGTAAAATGGGAGGAATCTGCCCAATTTCAAGATTACTACATAGCTACAGTAATCAAGGGTGTGGTATCAATAGAGCAATAGACACATAGATCAGTGGAACAGAGTGGAAAACCCACAGAACCAGGTAAAGATACCCTGTCGTGTTATGCATGATTTTGGAAAAAGGTGCAGAAGCAATTGAGTGGAGAAAAGATATCTTTCAGCAAATAGTACTGGAGCAATTAGACATCGATTGGCAAAAATATGAACATCAACCCAAGTCTCATTCCATGTACCAAAATTAATTCAAAATGGTTTATGAATTTAAATGTAAAATCATAAAGCTTCTAGAAAAGAAAATCTTTAGAATCTAGGTTGAGGCAAGGAATTCTTAGATGTGACCCCAAAAGCATGCACCATAAAAAGAAAAATTGATAAGCTGGACTTCATCAAAATTAAAAAATAATTGCAAACCACCTATCTGACAAAGGACTAGTAGCAAATAAATACATACATAAACAACTCTTAAAACTCAGTAAAATACTACAAATAACACCATTAGAAAGAGGGCAAAAGAGCTAAAGAAACTTCACTGAAGAGGATATGCAGATGGCAAATAAACATATAAGGAGATATGTAACATTATTAGCTATTAGGGAAATGTAAATTATTACTATTTTATTTATTTTTATTTTTTTTCTTGAGATGGAGCCTCACTCTGTCACCCAGGCTGGATGGAGTGCAGTGGTGTGAGCTCGGCTCACTGCTACCTCTGCCTTCTGGGTTCAAGCGATTCTCCTGCCTCTGCCTCCCAAGGAGCTGGGACTACAGGCATGTGCCACCATACCTGGCTAGTTTTTGTATTTTTAGTAGAGACAGGGTTTCATCATGTTGGCCAGGCTGCTTTCAAACTCCTGACCTCAGGTGATCCACCCGCCTCAACCTCTCAAAGTGCTGGGATTACAAGCATGAGCCACTGTGTCCGTCCGGGGAAATGTAAATTAAAGCCACAATGAGAGAACAACCTCATGATGGCTAAAATAAAAAGCAGTGATAATACGAAATACTGGTTGGTGACTATGCAGGGAAACTATGCTCATGCATTGCTGATGTATAGCCACTCTGGAAAACAGGTCTGGCAGTTTCTTCCAACTATCATGTGACCCAGCAGTTGCCATCCTGGGTATTTATCCCAGAGAAATGAAAACTACTCTACACGTTAGCTGGGCATGGTGATGTGTGCCTGTAATCCCAGCTACCCAGGAGGCTGAGGCACGAGAATTGCTTGAACCTGGGAGGCAGAGGTTGCAGTGAGTCAAGATTGTGCCACTATACTCCAGCATGGGCAATAGATCAAGACCCTGCTTCCAAAAATAACAAAAAATACCTGTACGTGAATGTTAATAGTAACTTTATTGGTAATAGGCAGAAACTGGAAACAAATCAGATGTTTTCAACAGTGAGTGGCTAAACAAGCCATGCTGCATACACATGGAATACTACTCAGCAATAGAAAGGGAACTATTGGTGCATATTCAATACCCATTATCTGAAATTTTGAATCTTTGCATTACAGTTAACTGGTTCAGCATTCCTTGTCCAAAAGTCTGAAATGCTTCCAACAAGCATTTCCTTTGAGTGCCATGTTTGTGTTCAAAAAGTCTCAGATTTTGGATGTACTCAACTTGTACATGCAACAACCTGGTGGAACCTGGCTTGCGGTAGAAAGCCAGTGTTGAAAGGTTGTATACTGATTTAATTCAGCCAACACCCTTGAAGTTACAAAAATTGAAGAAATAGAGGAGATTGGTGGTTTCCTGGGTTCAAGGAGGGGATTAGGGTAAGGGAAGTGAGTGGGTGTCACCCTAAAGGGTGGCTCCTTAGGATCCTGGTGGTGATAGAACAGTTCTGCAGCTATGTCCATGTCAGGATCCTGGTGACACTGATAGAGTAACACAGGGTCTTACCATTGGGGAAAGAAGGCACATGAGACCTCTGTATTATTACTTCCAACTACTTGTTAACTCTACACTTATTTCAGAATGCAAAGTTTAATTAAAGAGAAAAACCTCCCAGACCCCTACCAGTGATAGGAGAAAACCCAAACCAAACCCTTGGTGTGTGTTCTTCCTTCCCACTGCTCTGTTCATCTCTCTAGCCTCTTGTTTTGCCACCCGCATAGCCTCCGTGTTACTGACCTGCCTGGTGACATAGCTCTGGAGCCTCCACACCCTGAGGGTCTCCTTTACCCTCGAAACACTTAGGGCCTTTCCTTGGGGCCTTCTCTTGGCCTGCTGGGTGTGAGTAGGTGGGTTCTGAAAGTGGTAGGGGTAGGGTGTGGGGTGGCCATGATAGGGGCAGGCTGCGCCCTATAGAGATAGCCCACCAGAGGGAGGGTAAAAAGCCCACAAAATGTTCAGGACCAGAATCAAGACCGGTATTTATTTCCCCCCCCCCCCACATCATGAGTCAGTACATGTTATTTCCAAACAGATTTTGAAAGCAGGCTCAGTAGGCCTGGAGGATTGCATGGCCAGTGGGAGTGGGGGAGGAGTAGAGGCCACTGAGGGCGGGTCAGCAGTCCTCAGCGTTCTGTGGCTTCTCCCAGACTGACTTGAAAAATATGCTTTTATTTTCTTGGGGTTTCCCACTGCCCCCCAACTTGTAGGTGTTAACTTTAGAGGCAAAGGAAAGACAAAGGTTACATTTCATCTCTGAGTCTATAGATACATCTCCTATTGGGAAGAGGTTAGAGGTCAGTGACTAAGACAGTATGTCCAGTGAGAATCGAGGGAACATTCTCGTCTGCATGTGAGGAGGAACTGAGAAGTGGTGAAGCCTCACAGCATTGTCCAGCAGGTGTGGAGTGGTGAGTGGCCTTGACAGAGTCTACCCAGTCGCCTTTCCTCACTGCTGTCTCATGCCAGTTCTGGTGGCTCCACACAGGTGTATGCTCACGCTGGCGCAACGCTGGAGGGGAAGATGTATATCACCTGCGGCCGCAGAGGGGAGGACTACCTGAAAGAAACGCACTGCTACGATCCAGGCAGCAACACCTGGCACACACTGGCTGATGGGCCTGTGCGGCGCGCCTGGCACGGCATGGCGACCCTCCTCAACAAGCTGTATGTGATCGGGGGCAGCAACAACGATGCTGGCTACAGGAGGGATGTGCACCAAGTGAGTGGGGCCTGGGGCCGTTCAACCCTCTCAGTTGCTGTGGATGGAAAATGTAATTGCAATATGTGCCTTTTTAAAATAGACTACTTTTTAGAGCAGTTACAGGTTCACAGCAAAATTAAGTGGAAGGTACAGTTTCCATATACCCCTTTTTCCCCCATACACTGATAGCCTCCCCACTGCAGATCTCTCACTCCAGAGGAGTGGATGTCTCACAGTTGTTGAGACTGCATCACTCTTGGCACATTCTGTAAGTTTGGACAAATGTCACCATGACAGTATCATACACATACACTTCTACCTTTTCTTATTATTATTAAAAACTTTTAGGCCGGATGTGGTGGCACATGCCTGTAATCCAGCAGTTTGGGAAGTAGAGGCAAGAGGATCATTTGAACTGAGGAGTTTGAGACTAGCCTGGCCAACATGGTGAAACCCCATTTCTACAAAATACAAAAATTAGCCAGGTGTGGTGGCGCATTCCTGTAATCTCAGCTACTTGGGAGGCTGAGGTTGGAGGATAGCTTGTGCCCAGGACAGAGGTTGCAATAAGCTGAGATCATGCCACTGCATTCCAGCCTGGGCTTTAGGCCAAGGCATGATGGCACAAACCTGTAGTCCCAGTTACTCGGGAGGCTGAGGTGGGAGGATTGTTTAAGCCCAGCAGTTGGAGCCTGCATTGAGCTGTGATCACACCATTGCTCCCCAGCCTAGGTGACAGAATGAGACCCTGTCTCTATTAAAAACAAAAACAAAAAAAAAAACAAACTTTTATTATAAAGTTAATATAACCATATTGCAGGAACTTTAAAAAATAGAGAAGGATGTCTGGGCGCAGTGGCTCACTCCTGTAATCTCAGCACTTTGGGAGGCCGAGGTAGGTAGATCAGAAGGTCTGTAGTTCGAGACCAGCCTGGCCAAGATAGTGAAACCTTGTCTCTACTAAAAATATAAAAATTAGCCAGATGTGGTGGCAGGCACCTGTAATCCTAGCTACTCTGGAGGCTGAGGCAGGAGAATTGCTGGAACCCGGGAGGTGAAGGTTGCAGTAAGCCAAGATGACGCCACTGCAGTCTAGCTTGGGCGACAGAGCAAGACTTTGTCTCGAAAAAAAAAAAATAAGGAAAAACATTCATAATCAGGCCCCTGCAGCACTGCTTTTCAGTATGACCATTTTCAGTATTGACTATGTATGCACTGCACCCAGCTCAGAATGGGTTGCTCTTTTTTGATCATAGTCAAAGAGCAGCCCATTCTGAGCTGTGTGCAGTGGGTCATGCCTGTAACACCCACATTTTGGGAAGCTGAGGCAGGTGGATGGCTTGAGCCCAGGAGTTGATACCAGCCTGGACAACATCGTGAAACCCTGTCTCTACAAAAAATACAAAAAAAAAAAAAAAATTAGCCGGGCATGGTGGCTTGCACTGTGGTCCCAGCTACTCGGGAGGCTGAGGGAGAATCACCTGAGCCCAGGAGGTTGAGGCTGCAGTGATCTGTGATGGTACCACCACACTCCAGCCTGGGCAACAAAGCAAGATCCTGTCTCAAAACAAAGAAACAACCAAAAGAGCATCCCATTCTGCTTCTCAGTGAGTTTTGTCCTGGGCATTTTCCAGTTTCACACTCAATCTTCATAATCCCTTCTGTGTCTAAGTTTTAACTTTTCCAAATAACGTGACAAGTAATAGTTGCTTTTTTGAGCTTTTCAGTTATTTTGGATTATTTCCTTAGGTTCATGCACCAGTTCTCAAAGTGTGATTCTTAGACTAACAGTCTGTATCACCTGGGAACGCTGTGTTAGGAAGCACCTCAGACCCACTGATTTGGAAGCCCTGAGGATGGGGCTTGGTGATCTGATTTTAAAAGGCCCTCTGCTCGTGAGATCCTCTGGGCCAGCATATTAGTTTTCTATTGCTGCAGTAACCTATCACCACAAACTTAGCAACTTAAGATAAATTTTTTCTGCATTCGTAAGTCCTCCGACATGGGCCTTGCCAGGCTAAAACCAGGGTGTGGTCAGGACATCTTTCCTTTGAGGAGGCCTTAGGGGGGATCTGCCTCCTTGCTCATGCAGGTGATTAGCAGAATTCAGTCCCTGGCAGTTGTTGTCCCATTTCCTTTTGAGCTGTCAGCTTAGGGCCTTCTTGGCTTGTAGAGGTCCCCATTTTTTCTGGCTTAGGGGTGCTACATCTTCAAAGCCAGCAGTGGCAGGTGAGTCCTCCTCACTTCTCAGCTCTCTTGTCTGGCTTTACCCTTCCATTTTGTTTTTCTCTTTTTTCAGATGGAGTCTCACTCTGTTACCCAGGCTAGGGAGTAGTGGTGCAACCTTGGTTCACTGCAACCTCCGCCTCCCAGATTCAAGCGATTCTCTTGCCTTAGCCTCCTGAGTAGCTGGGATAACACGTGTTTGACACCACACCTAGGTAATTGTTGTATTTTTAGTAGAGACGGTTTCAGCATGTTGGCCAGGCTGGTCTCAAACTCCTGACCTCAGGTGATCCACCTGCCTCAGCCTTCCAAAGTGCTGGGATTACAGGCGCGAGCCACCACACCCTGGCCTCCCCTTCTACTATTAAGGGCTCGTGCAATTGGATGGGTCCATCTGGAAAAAAACCAGGAAAACTGCCCTGTCTCAGGGTCTGAATCCTTTTTTTTTTTTTAATTCCGTTTTTTTGCACCCTTGACCCTATCTGCAAAGTCCCTTTGGCCACTTAAGGTAGCATATTCTGGAGATTAGGACTAGATGTCTTTGGGGGCTGTTATTCTGCCCACCATAGTGAGAGGAAAAAAAAAAACAGCTAATCAATCAAGAAGGTAAGGTTTTTATGACTCTTAATACTTATTGTCAAAATCCTTTTCTGGTATATCAGACAGATACATAGTAGTATGGCTTTACCACACCCTCACCAGCATTGGGTTTTATGATTTTTCTTCTCTGCAGTGGTTGCTAGTTAACAGTGGAAAATTATGTCTCTGATATTTTGATTTTGCTTTTTTTTTTTTTTGAGATGGAGTCTCACTCTGTCGCCCAGGCTGGAGTGCAGTGGGGCAATGTTGGCTCACAGCAACCTCCATCTCCCAGGTTCAAGCAATTTTCCTGCCTTAGCCTCCTTACAGGCACGTTTATTTTTCTATTTTTAATAGAGACAGGGTTTCACTGTGTTGATCAGGCTGGTGTCAAACTCCTGACCTTGTGATCTGCCCGCCTAGGCCTCCCAAAGTGCTGAGATTACAGGCATGAGCCACCACGCCCGGCTGCATATCTTGAATTACTAGTAGGTTGAACATTTTTCCATGTCTTTGTTTACTGTTTTGGACAATTTTGAAGACAGGAGAATGTTGATGTTGATGATACTCCGAAAGGAATTACTTCTACTTCTGTCTCCTCTCCCTGTCCTGCTGCCTGTGTTGAGTGCTTCAGGGGAAGTTGAAGACATTTCAGTGGAGTCCATGTCTCTCAGGCAGCTTCCGTTTCCTGGAGGGGAGACAAACAGTGCCCTCAGAACATGGGGAATGACCACATGCTGATGGGGGCACAGCCACATACTTAGAGGCAGAGCCATGTTTTTGTTCAATGAAATAAAGCAGCGAATACCCAGCTTAGGGCCAGATGGCCTGGAGGAAGAGCTGTGCCCAAGCAAAGCCAGAGGAAACATGATTGTTTTAGGGAGGGTCCAGAAGACAGCCTCCTGCAGACTTGGCCATCCCTGGGTGAGATAGCAGTGACCTAGCCCATGGACAGCGTGTTTCAACACTGGCCCTTTGCCATCCTTCCAGGGGGCCCGGCCTGTTAGAGTGGTGGGAAACTGTGGCCACCTTGGTCAGTGGTTTGTGGGGCAGCTGGCAGCCTCGTCCCAGCAGGTGCTAGGCTTTACTCTGGCCTTGGCTTTGCAGGTGGCCTGCTACAGCTGCACGTCCGGACAGTGGTCATCCGTCTGCCCACTCCCCGCTGGGCACGGTGAGCCTGGCATTGCTGTGCTGGACAACAGGATCTATGTGCTAGGTGGTCGCTCACACAACCGCGGCAGCCGCACAGGTTATGTGCACATTTATGACATGGAGAAGGACTGCTGGGAGGAGGGGCCCCAGCTGGACAACTCCATCTCAGGCCTGGCGGCCTGTGTGCTCACCCTGCCCCGCTCCCTGCTCCTCGAGCCACCTCGCGGGACCCCTGACCGCAGCCAGGCGGATCCGGACTTTGCCTCTGAGGTGATGAGTGTGTCTGACTGGGAGGAGTTTGACAACTCCAGTGAGGACTAGGCTCCCCATGCTTGGTGTGAGAGGGAAGGGAGGCCGGGGCTGCAGGGCAGTGAAACCCACGCAGCCCAGGCCAGAGCACTTTACTCCAGGGCAGGGCCCCTGCCCCTGTCAGCTGCAGCTTGAGGGCGCTGCCCTCATTCTTCACACCAGCCCCTTGGCCAGCCTGCCACAGGCGTCTCAGGGCCAGGCAGATCCCAGGCTGTGGATTACTTCACAGCAGAGAAATGCTCCTGAAAGGCTTTGGTCTTCCTCAGTGAGCCCTAGGGGTGCTTGGCCTTCTCTCCTCCCTGCCTGGATCAGTCCCTTCTCCAAAGGGACCTTGGAGCTGGTAGCCTGGGCGGGGGGCTGAGGCACATGGCAGCCCTTTTTCTGTGAATGGGGTGGGGCTATGGGAGCAGCCAGGGTTGGAGGATGAGAGAGCTCCTGAGGAACAGAGGAGTAGAGATCATCAGCTTGCCTGGGACTGGCTCTGTGATAAAAAGACCCCTCTCGCTGGGTTTTCAGACCCCATGTTGTTGATCAATGAAATAAAGCATCTTACAGACGGTGTTAACTGTTTTCCTGCAGCCACAGCCTCAGCCTCAGTTCCTTTACACAGTGCATCCAAGCTGCATCCCCAGGAAGCATGGCTTCTGGTGTCAGAGCTGCCATCCAGGAGAGGCTATGGCAGCCCAGACCAGAAGCCAGATGGCACTGAAGACCCTGCCTGAGAGGGAAGCACAGTAAACTCCACAAGCTAACAAGGCAGTCAGTGGGAAAGCTGGAACTCGTCCTGGTCTGGTGACAGGTGGTCGTGCAGCCCACTTGAGCATCTTCTCTGGTGTGGAACTTGTCTTCCAACCAGGGCAGCACGCACAGTTTCAGTCCAGCTCATTAGGAGTCTCTCAGCCTGAGTGCCAGGGAACAGGAGCCTCAGCACCTGGGAGGGGAGCAGCATCACTGGGGTGCAGGGGGGTGGCCCCTCTGGCCTGTGCTCGGGAGGAAAGCTGCATGTGCTACAGGTTTGACAGGTAACCCTTAGGTACCCAGTCTCAAGGACCACACTGGCACAGCAGCTGAGACCTCCCCTGTTCACCTGTCCTGGTGCTTTTCTTGCCCTCTTGAGACTGCCAGGCTTAGCCTGCTTTCTGCGTGGATGGGCTATGCATATCAACTCTTCCACGGGGCTGCACCACACAAAACCTCAAAAGGTCTGTACCTGCAGACTCCTACTATGGGCCTTGTGCCCAGAGCCATCCTGCTTTCATACAAAACCCTCCTTCACCTTCAAGGCCCACTTCCCTCTGGCAGCCATCCTAGCCAAAGCCAGGGCTGTAACTTGCCAAGGCCCCATTCTCTCCCAGTTGACTGGGCAGAACGTGGGGACAGCCATGTGTTCTCACTAGCATCTTGTCGCACAAGAGAAGGGGGCAGTGTGTGCTCCTTGACAGGAGGAGAGGGGATGGGAGGGGGTCTTGGGCTCTCCTAAATGGATACCCCAAGGATTCTTGAGGATGGAGACAAAGCCCTCAGAGTTATCCTGTGCCCCCAGGGCTGTGGGTATATGTGTGGGACCTGAAGACCTTCCTCACTGTCCTGGGCCCTGAGTATCCCTGAGAAACATCACCTTGGGGTGGGAAACCCAGTGTTGAGCCCCAGTGGGGCAGGATGTCTACACACTCCAGTGTCATCTCCCCTCTCCTGAGGGTGAGGTGCAAGAGCGTGGACTCAGAGTAGGGACCCCACTCTGTAGGTCTCAGACCCAGCACTTTCTGTGTCTCTGCTACTATCTGGCAGCCCGGGGCAGTAGATCCTGCAGACTTAACAGAGGTTTCTGGAAAGGAGGAGCACCAGACACCCCACCACTCCAATGTGTCCTGACACGACGATGGCTGGCACCATCTCACCCAAGCCACCAGCCACGGCCACAGGTTTGCAGGAGGCCTCTGGTCTGCAGGGGCAGGAAGGGCTCACTGAGGTCCTGCTCGGCTTGGGGAGGGGTGGAGAGCACCTTGGAGTTTGGCATAGGCTGGCCCTGCCACTGTCAGTCTTAGGGCCTGGCTGGGCTGCTGCTGCTGCTGCTTTTTTTTAAATAGAGACGGGGTTTCACCACGTTGGCCAGGCTGGTCTCGAACTCCTGACCTCAGGTGTTCCGCCCACCTCAGCCTCCCAAAGTGTTGAGATTACAGGCTTGAGCCACCACACTCAGCCTTTTTTTTTTTTTTTTTTTTTTTTTTTTGGCTGGGCTTCTAAGGGCTACACCTCATACCCCTGAGCTACACCCTCATACCACCAACTTGTGCTCCCCAGTGTGGCTAGGCTCTTGGGCCCTGCTTTCATACAAAACCCTCCTCCACCTTCAAGGCCCACTTCCCTCTGGTAGCCATCCTAGCCAAAGCCAGCAGTTCAGGGCTCCAGGCTCCAGCAGTTTGCCTTTGTGGTGGTGAATTGTCTGTGGGTTCCTTCTACATCCTCGTGCCACATGGATGATCCTTCTTTCCTCCCATACTTCTGTGTCCTCCCTTAGGGGTGCGGTGGTGGCTGGGACAAATGAGGGCTCTGCCTATGATAGGCAAAGTTGCCATCCACTGGAAGGGAGATAGGCATTGGCCGGTGGGTGTGAGTGAGGGGAGGCTGGGGATGATCTTTGTCCTGAGAGCAGCAGTAGACAGCTACATGAGCTTAAAAAGAATACTCAGTGACATACAGATGGGTGAGCAGAGATCTGAGACATTTAGGAGGTCCTGGGGGCTTTGGGGGGCAGCATCCAGGTGGTGCTCTCCCTGTACAGAGGTGGCAATGGGGGTGGGGACCAGGTCTGGGGGAAGGAGAAAGGTGATGGAATTTGAGATGCCTGTTTGTGACCTCCGTTCAACTGAGGTGAGTGTCCCCTCCAGCCCCGGGGGTCAGTGCCTCTAAAGCCAGGAGCTGGGCTGGGACAGACTGCAGCCGCTGGTACCTCTGCTGGCCTCTGCTGGGAGCAGCAATCTGGATCCTCCGTGGGAGGGACCCCAGCACTGGGAGGGCCCTGCTCAGGTAAGGGCTGTGCCCAGGCTGAGCTGCCAAGAAGTGGTGGGCTTGTTTACTTGTCGCCAAGTAGTGTTTGCATTGATGCCCACACTAGCTCCATTTCTCTTCCAACCCACCCCACCTCCCTCCTGCACCAGCACGGCTGAATGAGGGGCCTGCCCCTCCCCATCCCACTCTCTGCCCGTGCCAGCCTGGTGATGCCCCCCTCCAAGTGCCCTGCTCCAAGCCCCCTCCTCCAGCCCCACCCTTCCTGGCTATCTAGCCACACCTGGAGAGTCTACCTGCCCTTCTTCCTCAGTGACCCTGTGGCCACTTGTGGCCTGCTCCCCAAAGAATGCAGATGCCCTCTTTCTGTTCATGCCTTCTGCCAGTTCTTAGGTCCCCAAAAGACACATCCTCACTGGGACCTTGCTACATATGGGACATTTGTGCCCAACCTCCCAGCTCCTTGGGCCTGAGAGTGGTTCTGCCCCAGTTGCCCCGGGTAGACACCCTACGGCTTCCCAGTCCAAGTCCAGCTTCCCTGCTGGCTCCCTAGGACCCGTCCCTGTCTTGCTCGCTTCCCACACCTTCCCTCTGTTGCGTGCTGCCACCCACCTTGCCTGATGCAGGAGTTCCCACTCTCCAGCCCCAGCCTCTCCTGGAGGTCCGGCAGCCTTCTCCAGCAGAATCCACCAGCCAGGCCACTTCACTCCTCAATGAGGAGGGCTGCAGGGTTTCCACCCCGGGGGTCTCCCTCTGTCTTTACCTCCACTTCCTACGGCAGTCCACAGCCAGGTCGTTCTACCTCTTCTGCATCTCTCCCATCCGTCCCTACGGAGACCCCTTCCCCACAAGCTTCGCGTCCGGACCGAGTCTACCACAGGCCTCAGGCATCCTGCTCAGTCCGCCCCTTGGGCGCTTTTGAGTGCCCCCGAGTGCGCAGGGGGAGCTGACCGCACATCCTGGCACTACAAGGGCTTCGCGGTGGGGTGCCGTGGAGTTGGCTTTCCGCCTCGACTTGGGCCGTCGGCGAGCCCCACTCCCTTGGTCCGTTCCGAGGAGCTAGGGGCGGGGGTGAGCTTGCGGAGTCGCGTCCGTGTCCCCCACCCGCCTTGCCGTCCCGGGCCTGGCTACGCAGTGGGCGCGCAGAGACGGCTGCTTCAGTAGACGTCTAGGGAGCAGAGGGAAAGGCGCGGGAACAGGGGATTTTTCGGGCAGCCCCCACCTCCCCCAGCGCTCGGCGGGCCTCCTCCAAGTTCGCCCCCAAGTTTGCGAGCGGCCGCATGGGGGCGGGGGCTGCGCGGAGGGGCGGTGGCGAGGCCGGAGGGTGGGGTCTGGCGCGCGGGGCGGGCGCTGCCGCCTGGCCGGCCGCGGCTGGCCCGGGATCAGGGAGCCGATGTGGAATTTCCTGCCCGGCCCGGCGCCCCTCCTGCCGCCCCCCGCCCGGCCTCGCACTCCGCTTCCGGCCGCTCTCGCCGCGGCCGCACCCGCGCCCGCGCCCGCCCCGCGCCTGCCCCGCGCCGCATGGAGGGCGCAGGGCCCCGGGCAGCCGGGCCGGCGCGGCGCCGGGGAGCCGGGGGGCCGCCGTCACCGCTGCTGCTGTTGCTGCTGCTGCTCTGGCTGCTGCCCGACCCCGCGGCGCCCCAGGAACTGAACCCTCGCGGCCGCAACGTGTGCCGCGCTCCCGGGTAGGAGCCGGCCTGGCTGGGGGAGGGGGCCGAGAGGGACGCTCGGGGCAGTGGAGTGGCGGTGCCTGGCATTGGGAGGGGTTCCCGGGACCTCCCTAAGCCAAGTGTGGGCCCCTTCGGCTCCCTCACCGACACGTCCAGGCCCAGCCTCGGCCACGGGCCACGGCAGAGCATCCGAGGATACCCTGGAGGCGAAGTCACCTGAGGGGAGGACCTGTGCGTGGTCACCCAGGGGATGACACGCGTTGTCCGAGATGTCAGGGAAGACCTGGAAAAAGGGGCCCTTGGCTGAGCTGTGAAGGCCACGGGGAAAAGCCGGGGAAGGGCATTCAAGCAAAAGGAACAGCATATGCGAAAGCCCCGCACTAGTGCGACCGGAGCCGGGAGTGTGAGGAGAAAGGTCGGGGGAAGAGGAGCGGTGCAAGCGGGGAGGTGGGAGCCGGAGAGGTCCCGGAGCAAGCCAGCCTTGGAAAGACAGATTCGTTTCTTAGAACGGGCGCAGGTTGGGAGGTGGCGACCGAGGCGAGCTTCGAGGAACCGGCGCTCAAAGTGGACTAGAAGCGGGAGGCGGAAGCACTGTGACAGGCACAGGGTACGGGAGGATGTGGGAACCCTGGCGACAATCCGCGGGGATACTGGGTGCAAGAAGGGGCCGCGCAAAGGTGGGGCGCCGGCTGGGAAAGCCGGTGTGGGACAGGCAGGGGACAGGCCCGGCCGGCTAGGGGCAAAGCCGGGAGCTTGCGCGGAGGGTAGAGAGCGGCGGCCGGACGCCAGGAATTGGGAGCTAGGGTCGGGAGAGCCGGTGGCCTGGCCAAAGGCTACGGCAAGGTAAAGGGGATCACGCAGGGGCGAGGAGCGGGCGTGTGGGGGCGCCTTGGC